TATAAGTTAAGAGCTTTTGCAGATGACTTGGTGGTTACTCTGTCTCAACCTACTTATTCTGTAGTAAAGTTACTACAACTGATTCATCAATATGGATGTGTTTCGGGTTTTAAAATCAATAATAATAAGACTAAAATATTACCTAAAAACACGACTAACCGGGACAAGCAGATTTTGGTTAATTTAACAGATTTTGAAGTTGTTGATAAGGTAAAATATTTGGGGGTTACTTTATCTGTTTCTAATGTAAAATTGTATAAGAATAATTATGAAAAGTTGTGGATCAGGGTACAGAAAGATTTGAAGAATTGGGATAAGTTACAGTTATCTCTTATGGGTAGAATTGCAGTGATTAAAATGAATGTCTTACCAAAATTTCTTTTTTTGTTTCAAATGCTACCTATTTTAAAGAATGAGCTTAACTTAAATGAATGGCAGAAAGGCATTAATAAATTTATTTGGGCAGGGAAAAAACCAAGGGTAAAGCTTAAAATTATGCAAGATTTTCGTGAGAGAGGTGGACTCAAGGTACCGAATTTGAAATTATATTATGATGCTGTGGTCTTAACATTGATTAGTGATTGGGTAAATTTAACAAATGTAGAAATACTCCATCTGGAGGGTTGGGACTTACTTTTTGGATGGCATGCCTACTTAATTTTTAATAAAAAAGTGGATCGAGTTTTTAAATCACATATTATAAGGATTTCTTTACTTCGGGTTTGGAGGAAGTATTATAAGAGTGATTTTAAAATACCTTTATGGGCCATACCTTGGCATGCGATAGAGGGGATAAGGAGAGGAGTTAAAATGGATAGGGTTTCTTATACACAACTACTTAGATGGGATGGTCAAAATTGGCAGTTAAAATCTTTGGAAGATTTAGTACATGAAAATATTACCTATTCATGGTTTCAATATAGACAAATAGTGGACAGATGGAAGATGGATTGTAATATGGGCTGGCTTAGAGAAGATGAAAATCTTTTTAAACAAGTAAAGGATCAAAGACAAACTCACATTAAGAGGATTTACGGGGTTCTAGTGGAATTGGATTCAGAATCTGAATTAATCAAAGATTGTATGATTAAATGGGCACAAAATTTTGGTGAACCAATCCCACTGGATACCTGGGAAATTATCTGGGTGAGGAATGTTAAATTTACACAAGCCCAGAATTTAAGGGAGAATTTTTATAAAATGTTTTATAGATGGCACCTTGATCCACAAAAATTTTTAATTAAGCCTATATTCAGCTCTGGGAAGCTTGGGGGGGGGATGGAGGGGGTGGTTTGGGAGGGGTTGGGTGAGGGTTGTTTTGTTTTTTTTGTTTGTTTGTTATTGTTCTTTTTTTGTTATTTGTAAAAACTTTTAAAAATTCTCAATAAAAAAAAAACCATCCCAAAGAAAAAGAAATGCAAGAAAGCAAAATGGCTGTCTGAGGAAGCTTTGCAAATAGCTGAGGAAAGAAGGGAAGCGAAAGGCAAGGGAGAAAGAGAAAGATACACCCAATTGAATGCAGAATTCCAGAGAATAGCTAGAAGAGATAAGAATGCCCTCTTAAATGAACGGTGCAAAGAAATAGAAGAAAACAATAGAATAGGGAGAACCAGAGATCTCTTCAAGAAAATTGGAGATATGAAGGAAATGTTTCATGCAAAGATGGGCATGATAAAGGACCAAAATGGCAGGGACCTAACAGAGACAGAAGAGATTAAGAAGAGGTGGCAAAATTACACAGAAGAACTATACAAGAACGAGCTTAGCATCCCTGATAACCACGATGGGGTGGTCACTGACCTTGAGCCAGACATCCTAGAATGTGAAGTGAAATGGGCCTTAGGAAAGCTGAACAACAACAAAGCTAGTGGAGGTGACAGTATTCCAGCTGAGCTATTCAAAATCTTAAAAGACGATGCAGTAAAAGTGCTACACTCAATTTGCCAGCAAATTTGGAAAACTCAACAGTGGCCACAGGATTGGAAAAGGTCAGTTTACATTCCAATTCCAAAGAAAGGCAATGCCAAAGAATGTTCAAACTATCGCACCATTGCACTCATTTCACATGCAAGTAAAGTTATGCTTAAAATCCTACAAGCTAGATTCCAGAAGTATGTGGATCGAGAACTTACAGAAGTACAGGGAGGATTTCAAAGAGGCAGAGGAACTACAGATCAAATTTCCAACATACGCTGGATCATGGAGAAAGCTAGGGAGTTCCAGAAAAACATCTACTTTTGCTTCATTGACTATGCTAAAGCCTTTGATTGTGTGGATCACAACAAATTGTGGCAAGTTCTTAAAAAGATGGGAGTACCAGACCATCTTATTTGTCTCTTGAGAAATCTATATGCAGGTCAAGAAGCAATAGTGAGAACTCGACACAGAACCACTGATTGGTTCAAAATTGGGAAAGGAGTCCGGCAAGGCTGTATTCTGTCGCCCTGCCTATTTAACTTATATGCAGAGCACATCATGAGAAAGCCAGGGCTAGATGAATCAAAAGTTGGAATTAAGATTGCCAGAAGAAATATCAACAACCTAAGATATGCAGATGATACCACGTCACAGAAAGTGAAGAGGAACTAAAGAGCCTCTTTTTTTAACGTTTTTTATTTATAATACAGTTAAAAAAGAAAACATTGGACATGACGTAACATTCCAGTATAAACATTTCTATCAAATTATTTCTCTTCTTACATTTAGTTCTTTATCTCTATAGATACATATAAGTTTTTTATACAATACTTAATTCATTTCTTTATTTGCTAACCTAAGATTACATACATTTCCATATTAACGCTAATCTATAACCCCAACAGTCCTCCTCGACTCCCACCAATAGTAAAATTTATCCCAGATTTCAAAGTATTCAGATCCACTTTTATCCTTCAGTTCCATCGTAAGCCTGTCCATTTCAGCACAAGATAGTATTTTGTATAGTATTTCTTCCTCTGTGGGAATTTCTTCGTTCTTCCATTTTTGTGCTAACGCCAGGCTGGCAGCCGTCAAGATGTGCAACATCAAATAAACTATCCCCTTATCATATTTCTCTGTGGTTATGCCCAATAAAAAAAATTCAGGTTTTAACTCTATCTCCAACATTAGTATTTCTTTCAACCATTTTCTTATCTTATTGCAATAGTCACAAGCTTTAGGACATTCCCACCACATATGATAATAGGTCCCTATTGCTATTTTGCATTTCCAACATATGGGTGAAAGATTTGGGCTCATTTTAGCTAACCTTGTGGGTGGGAAATGCCATCTATAAAACATCTTGTAGAGATTTTCCTTGTAAGAAGTAGCTAAGGTGAGTTTCCTGTTTCTTTCCCACAATTCTTGCCAGAGATGCAGATCAATATTAAAGCCAAAATCCCTACTCCACATTAACGTAGTTTCCTTGACCTGCTCTTCATACATTGCCTGATCTAGAAGGTAGTGGTATATTCTTTTAATCATTTTGTCCTCAGGAACTAAAGAACCTCTTGATGTGGGTGAAGAAGGAGAGTGCAAAAGTTGGCTTGAAACTCAACATTAAGAAAACCAAGATCATGGCATCCGACCCTCTCAATTCCTGGCAAATAGATGGGGAAGAAATGAAGGTAGTGACAGATTTTATCTTCCTGGGCTCCAAGATCACTGCAGATGGGGACTGCAGCCAAGAAATTAAAAGACGCTTGCTCCTGGGGAGGAAAGCTCTGGCAAATCTAGACAGCATACTAAAAAGCAGAGACATCACCCTGCCAACAAAAGTACATATGGTCAAGGCCATGGTTTTCCCAGTTGCAATGTATGGCTGTGAAAGTTGGACCATAAGAAAGGCTGAGTGCAAAAGAATTGAGGCCTTTGAACTATGGTGCTGGAGAAGACTCCTGCGAGTCCCCTAGACTGCAAGGCGATCAAACCGGTCAGTCCTAGAGGAGATCAACCCTGACTGCTCTTTAGAAGGCCAGATCCTGAAGTTAAAACTCAAGTACTTTGGCCACTTAATGAGAAGGAAAGACTCACTGGAGAAGAGCTTAATGCTGGGAAAGATTGAGGGCAATAGAAGAATGGGATGACAGAGAACGAGGGGGCTGGATGGAGTCACTGAAGCAGTAGGTGTGAGCTTAAATGGATTCTAGAAGATAGTAGAGGACAGGAAGGCCTGGAGGAACGTTGTCCATGGGATTGCGATGGGTCGGACACAACTTCGCAACTAACAACAACAAAAGTGTTTTTATTGGTTTTAGTATTTTTATTGTTTTAAAATGTTTCTAAGATTTTCACCTGTAATATATTTTTTGAATTGCAAGCCACTCAGAATCATTAACTAAGATAGGCAGCCATAAAAACAAATCAACTAACAAACTAATAAACAAACCTGGCTGTATTTCCAGTACTATGTTTAGTGTATGCAAAGGGAATTGAAATCATAGAGTTGAAATATTGGAAGGGACACTTGGGTCCTTCCTTACACAGTACAGTAATCCAATTATACATTCTTACAATGGCTTTCTAAATCTACTTGAACACATCCGGTGAAGGGAAATCTGCCATAACCATGCCTAATTGGTTCTACTGTTGAACAATTGTTATTGTCGGGGTACTTTTTCTAATGTTCAATTGGAATCTGTCTTCTGTAACTCAAGTACAAACTATATTGTACCTTTATGGAGAATCTGGATAGATAGATAGATAGATAGATAGATAGATAGATAGATAGATAGATAGATAGATAGATAGACAGACAGACAGACAGACAGACATTACAATTTGGAGAGAGAGAGAGAGAGAGAGAGAGAGAGAGAGAGAGAGATGTATAGATATAGATATATACATATATATTTTATATGTATTTTCAATAGTAAACCAATATTTCCAAACATACTAATTTGTTACTTTGTGTCTTCATGTTGGTATCAAGTAGGGAACATTGCTTGAAATCAAAATGCTAATATTCCATATTATATGAGCTTAAACATTTATAAAAATACCAAATAAGTTTTTTTACTGACCAAGCATTGTACTGGTGATTGGGAAAGTAAGAATTGGTCTTCCAGTCATTCTCCAACAGGAAGTTAGATAAGCCAACTCAGTTCGTAGCATCTCCACAATCATCCGATTGTCTAAAGCCAAGTAGAAGTGATGCTGATCTGTAAACTATGAGGAAATTCAAAGTATTATGCATTTAGAGGTGGAATCCCAAATCTGATGTCTTCCAGATATGTTGGATTACTACTCCCAACACTGCTGGACAGAGTACATATTAGCATCAGACTTATATGACTATAATATATAAAGTCTGTATCACAGCTTTCATCACTTCAGACCGGGACTGATGCTTAGTTAAACATTTGTTAATTTTCCACTTGGTCCATTGCATTTTATAGGGAATTCTCCCTGAAAATGCTTTTGATACTACAGTTACCACAACAATAAGATCAATAATTGGATTAGAAGACCTTCAAATTCCCTTCCAACTCTGTTATTCTGTAAGTTCAACATTTGGATTATAGTCTAATAGTAATCTACAAGGACTAGAATTTGGGACCAGAATCCCTCAAAATCTTCCTACTTCTAGGTAAATCTCAAGCTAGGACTGAGAAACATTTGAGCTACATATGCACTACTTCTGGCTGGATGCAGGAAACTGGAAGGCATGATTCCAAAATTATCAGTTTAGTTTTGAGGATTGCTCGCATTCGTGTTGGAAGCACCTAAGGCATTTTCGGGTTGAAAGGATTAGTCAGTGACATCACCATTGCCCTGAGACACTTGATTGAGGACTCCATTCATGTCCCCATTAATGTGCCTACTGAAGTGGTATCTATCTATCTACTTGTGAATGAGGGTTTAAGAATTTTGGGAATGGAACTAGGAGTTATCTATGATAAGAACCATTACCTTCTCAACTTAAAATAATCTCTAAAATGGCCTGAAATACAAATATTTTGCTGCACAATTTCAGTCTAATGATTTTTAGATACTTAGAAGCCAGAAGTAAGGTACAAGATTGCATGAAGTATGCCCACATTACTTGAGCTTAATGGGATTACTTGTCTCAGCCTAGTGTTACTGGTGGTTGTATTGTTGTTTTTATGTAAACCACTGCATGAAATTTCTAAGATGATCAAAAAATGCATATCACAGTTATGCATTAGAAGTTGGCAAAGAAGTAAAAGAATTATAGTCAGGCATTTTATTTTTTCTAATTAATGGTGATAACAACCTGATACCTAATGCACAAACCAGAATCACTTATCAGGCCAGATTATACCATAAGTACTAATAAATAAAATTAAAGTTATTCATCAAATGAAAGGAGGATTACCAGGAAATGCTATGCTTCTAAGCCTTTTGCACAAACTTTCGAGTAATTTTTAACCTGCAGCACAAGAGCAGTCAACAAAACATATGTAGTACAGTATGAATTTATTATTCCCTTTAAGTTTGTGCCACTGGCAAGGCTAGGATTCTATAAGTGGAAATTAAAGTTTCTCAGTGCTTCTACTTTGTTCTCCTCTACACAGCTCTACACAGCTTAAATAAAGATTTTTATCAGTTCAACCTTTGTAATATCAGTTCCAAAAGCAAGTAGAATAGAGCAGTAGGAAGGAACCAATGTTCTTGATATTTTCAAAATTACCTGAGGGGTAAACGTAAATATTTGGTTTCTTATGATATATAATTTGGATGTTCCCAGGACACCAATATGCCGATAAGGCCTCCCACTCAACTTCATGTTCTTGTTACGCCCTAAATGAAGCAAACAAAAAACATCCCAAAGCTAATATTTGGTGTCTACTTATATTTATCACATTCACATCTTAGAACTGCCCATCTCTGTCACAGATGGACTCTGTATATTGTTATGCAATTCAAATGTTTCATCGCTATATTCTGGTACTTTAAGCAAGTTTGGCTGTACCCTTCACAGCTGGGGATATGTTAGAAAAAATGGATGCTAAGCTATGATTTAATTGTGGTTTACTTTACAAGTAATAGTGACTTGGTTCACACATAAACCATAAGCTACAACAATGTTTTTCTACCTTGGAAACTTTGCTTGAACTCCAACTCTCAAAATGCTAGCATGTTGGCTAGGGAATTCTAGGAATTGAAATCCACACATCTTAACGTTGCGAAGATTGAGAAACACTGAGTTACAATTTCTCCAACTTGCTCAAAATTGTCAACTGAAATGAACACTGCCACTAGAGATTACCTAGTGTTGAACTGTATAGAATAATTATGAGATTATATAATAAAGGCATCTGGGGTTCAACTCCTAACACAGTTTTCTTGACAACAGTATAGAAGAGTTTGTCCAGCCCAGCATATACAGTATCTTTCAAATTTCCTAGTCTCTTCTGCAGATGTTAATCAGTCCAACAGTTCATCATTTTAAATCAACCATGGTGGCATAGACGCTGCCACCTGCTGGGGGGACTAGAAATGAAATTAGTGTATATTTCCTAACTCAAAAAATATAACTGTTAACTACCACTCCGTACGTTTATGGAGAATCAAAAGCTTCTTGGATGAGAAGCAAAACATCTTCCTCAAGGAAAAAACAAAGTCCAGTTGCCTTTTGAAAAAGCACATTGGAGACTTCCAGTCAGTTTGGGTTAAAATAGACAATTTTTTGTAAGTGCTAAGAAGTTAAGGCAACCCAGTTGTGTCTTAACTACATTCCAATCCTGAAAAGAAACCAGTCTGACAATGTTTTCCCTATGCATTTCAAAAGTGCCTTGGGGGCCATAAAAGAGTGCTTGACATCTACCCTACAGGAAGGTCATTTTTGTGTTAAGCCATGGCACGCTTTAATAATTTGTTAAATATACAATGTAACAGCGGAAGCCATAGAAGTTGCTACTTTTGTAAGAATAATAAAGCAACATCCAGGTATTGGATCAGAAGAGACATCACAATGCATTTAGAAAAGAGGTGGGCCTTGCATTGCCATGCCACACTGCCTCTTTTGTCATTCTGAAACTTGTTTGACCACCCTTTCCCCACCATTGGTGCCAATCCAAAATCAGACAAACCATATCATAGCTTAACAAGATGGGTGAATCCTGCTTTTTATAACAATACAAAAGAAACACATTTGTTGTCACAGGTAATGCAACAATTCCTTTAATATAAGAGTACAATTCAGTTTTGAAGTCCTAAAAACATGCAATTGTGCTTCTTATATAAAAACTGCACTTTATAAACCAATACTATCTGTCAGTATTTTTTAAAATAGCTTACTGAAAAACAATAATTAAAATTTATTAAAAATGTCTCAGTGGCGCAATGCTGGAAAAGTCCAATATAATTACTCAGTTGTTTTTTTAATAGCACCTACCAAGCTTAGCATAAAGATTACTCAGAATCCGAGATGGCTGCACTCTGGTGGGACTCAGGTCAGCAATGCTTTGTACATTAATTCCATGATGTCGTAATAGTTTCTTAATTTCATCTGTTTCTGCTAGAACGTTTACTATTCAAAAACAAAATGAAGAACCACAATCAAAGATGACAATTACTTTTATTTTTCTGTGAATAGAGCATAATCAAAGAGGATCTTCAGTAAAAAAAATAAGACTTTTTCACTGGACTAGCGTTGGACTAGTACAAATAAATGGAAATGATTGCCTATTAGAATGACACTTTACTAGGTTTGTACTAAGCATTCCAAATGGTCTTATTATAAAGCATATTAGAATAGAGACAGCATCCTTTCTCAATGTTAGCTACTGTAAATATTCCCTGATTCTTTACACAAGCATTTGCGTACCCAGATAACATCACTTCTAGCACAGCCAGCAATGCAAGTAGACACCTGCAGGCACAGACAGTCAGGGATATCTTTTGGCAAAGTTGTGTAAAGATCCAAGAATTCAGCTGCTTTAATGTTTCAAGGAGAGGGGCTTCACAAAGCACAATCCTATACACCTTTTCCAAAATTTTGGAATACATAGGTATTAAAAATGATGCAATAGAAACATCTGGAGAAGTGGGTTTAAAAAGTCCCCAGATGGCAGTTCCATTGCACAACTGAGTGAAGCCCTGCTCCTTTTATCTGTGTGTCAGCATACAAATAGGAAAAGTTGTGACTGAGTGGTTGTGACTATATCTTGGTCCTATAACCCTGACTCTGCTATGCATCAAAACAGTCTAATTTTTTTCTGACTTTTGTACAAGCCTGAAAACAAGCTGTTGGTGTTACTACAAGGAATTCTCTCATTAAAACTATAATAATTTTTAAAGGAGCAATACCTTCCTTCAATCCTATGTTTAAATCTGTGAGAGATCAGGTTACTTTAATGAACAGCAGTTTGTACAAGGTCTGAAACGCTTTTTTCTGAATCTTTGTGAAGCCATTTTATAACTGAACTAGTTACAACTAGTGGCCATTTTTTTTATCAGATTGATACCCATTTTTGTCCTTATCCTCTGCAGCTTCAATCCAGAATTCTTATAAAGTCAATAAAGCAAAGGCATTGCTTTATTGACTTTATAAGTCTAAATATTCTAAATATTTCTAAATATTTTCCCCAATATGTAAAAAAGATCTAAATAATAGGCATTTCTGAACAACTTAGGTTCAACCTATATTTTAAATATTATTAATGACTATGATTAATTGCTATACGTATGGATTTGCTGACTTGGGGATTTGGGAAGGTACAACATAATGTGATTGAATTTCATAATTAGTATTAAGAAACTGCTCTGACCCCAGCTTAATTTAAAGCATTTCAAAATTTATTTCTGCTGATGACTTAAACTACCATTTGAGTTACAATGAAGTGATTCTTGGAACAAGGTGACATGAAATTGCTAAAAATATATTTTAAACTATGATCAAAGTAAGTTGACCATGACTCTTTACGAATGTTTTTGTATTTGATAAAAATGAATTTCCTTAAAAATATAGTTTCATTCACTGCTACGGTTTAGGGAATATATGTTCCTATGAAAGAATTCCACATTTTTCTTTCTATATTTTTCCCAAAAGAGCGACAGAAATTGTGATGGTATCCAAAAGTTCTGCTTATCCAGGTTTCTCAGTTTCCTTGCTTCAATGTCAAAAGCAGTTTAGACTGCATAACACAGTAAGTATATGTAGAAATACAACATCATTCTGAATAATGATCTTTTACATTACACGTAGTCTTCGACCTACAACAGTTCATTTAGTGACCGTTCAAAGTTATAACGGCACTGAAAAAAGTGACTTATGACTGTTTTTCAAAGTTACCTTTACAGCATCCCCATGATCATATGATCAAAATTCAGATACTTGGCAACTGGTTGATAATTATGATTGTTGCAGCATACTGGGTCATGTGATCACCTTTTGCAACCTTCTGATAAGCAAAGTCAATGAAGCAGCCAGATTCACTTAACAATCAGGTTACTAACTTATCAACTGCACTGGTTCACTTAACAACTGTGGCAAGAAAGGTCATAAAATAGGGCAAAGTTCACTTAAATAACAACAGAAATTTTGGGCTCAACTATGGTCATAAGTCGAGAAATACCTGCATTCACAATGCTGTGAAATATCTACTAAAAGGAACAATTAACTCGATGTGTGGATGCCATGAAGAATCAACAGAAACAGGGAGTGCGATAACTAGGAAAGTGTAATTGTCACACATTTTGATAGCTGAACTGCAGCAGCACTTGTCTAAGCACTTGTCTCACCTGAGACTTAGTGACATGTCTTGTTAGTTGCCACTACCCTTCTATACATATGTTATAACACCTCATGGGTAGAAGTGATAGCCTTCTATTACGTTATTTTGTTTCCTTCTCCACTTTTCTCTACAGAGTTAAAAATTTCACACGAATAATCACCAACCTTGAACAACCACATCAGGCTTAAAAGCTGTTGAAAACCTTCTATTTAATGGATCAATCTCACCCATAGCCAAAAATCCCTAAAATGAAAGAAAGGAAGAAATGAGGCAGATTTCAGTGGTGATAATAATGTTCTTTAACAACTAGTATGGGAACTTCAGAAATATATAAATTCATTAAGAACTATATCAGTAAACTATGTACAATTCTCAGTTTAATGGATAAGGCCTTTGGTCTATTTTCAAAAGACCTCAACAAGCAATTCCAACTTATATAAATATTCTAGCCTGCTGAAGGAGCAGAGGTCTCTGCAAAGGGGGGCAAAATGGCACATGTGAACATTCTATGCGTGAAGAAAAGAGTGGGATATCCAGTGGTGGTCATGCCTGCCATTTTGGCTCACTTGCAGACATGCCTAAAAAGAGGTAAGGACAAAAGGGGAAAAAGTGTTGGAAAAGATATAGAATGAAAAGGATCTTTGCAACAACAACAAAAAAACCCACACAAATTGTATAAAAGAGGACGTACCTCTGCTAGGAGGGCAGAAAGAATATATAATGACTGGCCCCAAAGATGAGGAAGTTTCCCTGCTGGAACACGATCCACTGTGTGAGGATTTTCATACTCTTCACTCACCTGGAAAACCAAACAGTGAATGAGCACTGGTTCATGTGAATTTATTCACAACTTGTAGATTCTCAGTGAATAAAATCTAGAAAGCTTTTTCTCTTTTAGCAAGAGTTTATTTGGCAATTGCAAACAGGTTTTAGACTATGTTTACAGCAAACTCTCTATTGACAAGTACTTTTAAAATATTCTTCAAGACTATAATCTTTGCTTGCAATAAATGAACAAAGAAACAACATGTAAAAGTTATTTGGTATAAGGTAAAATACACTAGCCCATCTATGGAAATGTTAATTTATCCACAGATTTATTTTTTTTTCCAATTTTATAGAGAGCATATGATATTCAGGCTCAAATTCAGTATGGGAGAAGAAACACTTATACTGATAGCAAAATAATTCGAAGCCACAAACTGCAGTGGAGTTTCATCTCTGTAACATCCACAAAAATTCACTAGGTAAATTGGATCAGATTTATAGAGAGATTATGTATACAGTAATCTATCTACAAATCAAGGAAGAGATGTTATGTCACAAGCGAATTATTTACAGATTAAGGCAATTTGGGAGGAAGACCTTATCTGAAGGAACTGCATACAGTTCTGGCATCAGAAGAATTCCATTCTTTTTTCTAATAAGGATCCCTTCCAAAGCTTCTCTGTATTCCTGCACCTGGTAAATACAAAATAATACTTTTACCATGCAGGCTCCTATTTCTAGGAGACAAAAGGAAAACAAAGTGAACAAAAGGAAAAGAAAATGGTGAGATAGTCAGACATATAATCCAATAAATAAAGAACTGTGTTCAAATAAAAGGGGGAAAAAAACTAAACAGTACAGAAACAACCTTATTCTCCTGAACATTCTAATAGTGAGAATGTTGACCTGTTGTTGCTTTGACTTTATAAGTCCTCACCAATGTTGAGCCAGAGAACAAATTTAAGAGAGCAAAGGGCCTGGCTTTGCAACCAGGTAAAAAGCATTTTAGAGTTAAGAAAAAGGTGATATTTATGCTTGCTGCATTTAGAAACTCAGGGCAAAAGTTGAGATTGAAGTTTCTGCTACCTGATGTGTTAGGATTTTTTCACTTACAGGGGATTTCTCTTTGATTTTTTTTTATAGATTAGACCACCTAAATCAACTCTTTTCCAGCATATAGTGTGTGCAGATGTATGGGGTAGAAATGGTGTATGTCTCTATGTGTGTCTGTGCATGTGCATATGCACATGCACTTTAGAGCCCATCCTTCCACTATCCCTTCATCCAGAAAAAGTTGATCCAAAATGTTTTATTTTACCTACCTGAATTCTGTCATCATTGAACACTCCATCAATTAAAAAATATGTCCAGAATACAGGCCATTCACATTCTATGTTCTCAAATAACTTGAGTTCAGCAGGATCATAATGTAATCTGTTTGGATCCTAGAAATACATTAATTACATAGTTTATTGTTACCATTTCACTTTATTGCAGAAAATATTCTGCCACTATTAATATTAACATCCTATCGATTTCCAAGATCCCAAGGAGTTTTGCCTGATTAAATTTTCACCCATTTATATGTAAAGTAATCAAGCCTTAAAAAACACCAAGAAACTGAGAATTCTGGAGGCTTTGTCATCTATCCCTCTAATTCCAAGACGTTTGGAAAGAGAAAGAATAATATGTGTGAGAGAAAAATAATCCTGCAAATGAATTGTGTCAATAGGACAGATTTGATTTCTAGGAACATGGTCTCAACTATCCAATGAATTTCAGCTGGCATAGAATAGGCTGCATCTTATAAGGAATAACAAACTTTATTTCAGTGCATAGTGAGCCTGATCAAGAGGGCTTTCAATTTAATCCTGTGGAGATTGGAAATAAAAATCCTGCAACGCATATCTCACGTTAGAAGGAAGTGAAAGTGCTGCTGTGTGGAACCTATTCTGCATTACTTTAAGTTAATGATTATATCCTAGCACTCTTGAGTATAGGAAATAAACAAGATAAACGGGATGCATCAAAAATAAAAGGAAGAGAAAAGAATCAATATACCTGTTGTTCATGAAGAATATAAATCCGGCATGTTAAACTCGCGACGTCACATGACGTTGCGCGACGTATCGTGACTTTTTCCCATTGCTGGCAATGGGGTGGGCGCTATTTCAGTATGATGCCGGCAGTTTGACATCTTCAGTGGGCCGGCAGTTTGACATCTTCTTCTTCTTCTTGTGCCATATCCGTTATCGGATGTTGGCAATCATGTTGGTGATCCTGTTTTTATCAGCCGCCGCACAAAAAAGTGCTTCTGAGTTTTGTCCAAACCAGTCCCTTAGATTTTGAAGCCATGATGTTCTTCTTCTGCCTGGACCTTCTTTGCCTTCAATCTTTCCCTGGAGGATTAAATGGAGTATGCCATATTTTTCTGGGTGTCGCATCACATGTCCAAAATATTCTAATTTTCATTTTTAATTGTTTTGATGATTTCCCTTGGCTTTCCCAGGTGGCTTATCACCTCCTCATTTCTGATCTTGTCAACCCAGTTTATATGTAACAGCCGCCTGTAAATCCACATTTCAAATGCTTCTAGTCTCTTCAGGTGGCCTTCTGTCAGAGATCAACTCGCTACTCCATAGAGCAGGATAGGAAAAATATAGCATCTGACAAGCCTGATTTTCAGTTTTAGGCTTATGTCGTGACTGCAGAAGACCTTTTTCATTTTTAAGAATGCTGTTCAAGCTTTTTCTATCCTTGTCTTTACTTCAATGGTCATGTCCCAGCTTTCATGTAAATTGGAACCGAGGTGTGTGATCCTTTCAACTTTTTCTAGTGGTATTCCTTCTGAATTTATTGGTGGTAAATTAATGGGTTGTTTACTGACAACCATGATCTTGGTTTTTGAAGCGTTAAGCTTCAAGCCATATTTTTCAGATATTTCTGTGACTCTGTTGATGAGGAGCTGAAGGTCTTCATGCTTACTGGCAAGCAGAACTATATCATCAGCATATCTTCAGTTGTTGATCCAAACACCGTTTACTCGATGTTCTCCAATGCCTCATTGAAGATTGATTCAGAGTAGATATTGAACAACAGTGGAGACAGAATACATCCTTGTCTGACCCCTCTTCTTATTTCTGCATCAGCTGAGTATTTTTGGCCTAGTCTCACATTTGCTACCTGATGCCAATACAGATTCTTTATGATTTGGATGTCTTTGTCATCTAGTACCCCTTGTTTCAGGATTTCTAATAGTTTGCTGTGTCTTATTTTATCAAAAGCTTTTTCGAAATCAATGAAGCACATGTAAACACTGTGACTGACATCTCTACAACGCTGTACAAGAACCTGTATGCTGAACAGCACATCTCATGTACCAAGATTGTTTCTGAAACCAAATTGTGTGTTACCTAGACGCTCTTCAATTTTGTTATATATTCTTGTGTGAATTATTCTCAGGAATATTTTCAGGGCATGACTCATTAAGCTTATTGTGTATTTGGTACACTTCTTTGCATTTATTTTTTGGGGGATTGTCACAAAGGTTGATTTTAGCCAATCATTTGGTATCTTTCCTGTTTGACATGCCGGATATAAATGATCAGAAACATAGGTACTAAGAAAAGAGATTGAAGGAATGTTTAGCTTTGAAATGAAAAGGCTGAAGGGAAGATATGACAGTATTCATCAAATAACGTGGGTCAAAACCTGTTCTCAGAAGAATGGCAGCTAGCTGTGGCCATTTCAAAATGATAACATGTCCATTGTGACATCATAATGCAAGTTTTGCTATGTCTCATGGAAATGTGCCAGGAGTAGAGTTTCCAGTACAACATTGTGATGTATTTTGTGTTACTTGCTACCATCCCTCGTCTGTTCCCTATTGCTCTGAAGTACAAGATAGAGAATAACTGTCAGGTCCCCATAGATCCCTACTGGGACACTGCCATTCTGGAGGGAGGGGGGACCTCGGGGCTTTTCTATGATGTATCCATTTTGTGTTGTTCTCTTTTGCTTTGATGTATCTTCCTGGGAACTGGGGGGAGGAGGAATGCGCCTGGGGCCATCTGCTTTGTCTCATCCCCGGAGAACCAAGTTCGCGGTGTCTGAGAAAAACTTGTTATCACCTTCTCGACTTGGAGTTCCCACAACACCTTCGTATCTCTGAATTGGCTCTCCATGGACTAGGCAGCTGGGAGGGGTTTTGAACAATGGGGTTTAATCTTCCGCGTGGGAACTTTAGGTCCTGCCTATCTTCTCTGCAATCACTTTCTCTCAATAAAAGATCCTTTTGAAATGCTGCCTGCTTCAAGAGTTCTACTTTCATGAGGAATAGCTGAGGCGAGACCTTACAATAACAGCTTTAAGTCAGAGGCAGGCAATTCTGAATCAATGTTAAAAAAACAGCTACTTTATGTTTACCTACAGCAGAGGTCCCCAACCCCCAGGCCGCAGCCCACTACCAGGCCGTGGCATATTTGGAATTGGGCTGTGTGAGGGGACCAAGCTGCCTCAATTTGAATACTTGCACTGAGAAGGGGAAAGGACTCAGTGGCCTCTGTGATTTCCTCTACTATTCTGATATTATCCCCATCTCTCTGTCATTCCCCTTTCCTAAAGCTGCTCTCAACTCCTGGAAGTAAGTTTGGATGGCTAAGGGCAAAGCTCTGGAAAAGCTAGAAAATCATCTTCTGGAACACTGGAGGAATGGAAATGGTAATTCTGCGCTGTTGATTATGAACAGGCTCATACATTATAAATATTTTAAAAGCTAGACATGCTAAAAGTTATGATCCAATTCACATTTTTGTCTAGATGCCATTTGGCACTTTTCATTTGGCATCTCTATCCTAGTATGAATCTAAATTAATCTTAATTAAATTAGTGAAACTGCATGGCTCAAATATTTCATGGTTAAATTTTCCATGCTTTTCTCATATTAAAGTTCTAAATATATTTAGTTCTTTAACATTTTTATACCAACCATTCACAAGACTCAGGATGGTAAATAGCACATAAGATAAATGATTAACACACTAACTCCATGTCATAAAACTGACTAAAATTATTTATTAGAAATATATAAGATTGCCTCAAAATCATATTATTGAAGTTGCACATCTCAGGGGACAACTACAAAATAGGCTGGAAAGATCAATGGCTTAATCATAAAAATTCAAAGCACCCAAGATCCAACAAAAAATGAAATGAAATCAGGTCAAAAATAATCACTGGACTTGCAAATATGGATTTGCTTGATTCCCCTAATTTTGAACATAGCATTTCAGGAAAATATAAAATAAATTACAATTCAGTTTATTCCAGAACCCACATGGACACCCATTTACAATGGCTTCATCAAACAGAATTAAGAATTCTTTTATTCAGTACATTTCAGTGCAAAGCAGCTGAACTCTGTTGTATTGGAATTTTTGGCATAGAGGGTGAACACTACAGAAACACATGAAAAAATATTGGACATAAATTATAATCTGCTGATTACAATGTGATTGTTTAGCATTATAGCACTCTAGACAGTTCTGGAATTTTTATGATTTTACTAAGCAACTGGCAACAGATTTAGTGCCATTTCTCAGTATTGTCCTTTGTTGCTCGAGTAAGAAGTCAAACTCCTTGAATGAGAAAGGAGCTGTGACCCACTTCTCCGGGAAGCCTAACTTTCATTCAATCCTAGTTTCAAGAAGACAACTATCAACAATGGTATTGAAATTTTAAAATGGGATCTTTTGTTCCTGTTTATTTGACCCTGCTAATTTGTTGTTAAATATCATAATGTATACATCTGTACTAATATCTTATAATATTCCAATGTTTAATGTTTATTCGGAAGCTAGGCACAGTCTATGTAAAAATGACATAACATTGTTATTTATAAAATTGTAAAGCTTAGAAAGTTTCAGCAACCCAACCTCTCTTGGTGTTTTATAGCCATCTCGGAGGAAACGACAGCAGCCATAACGCCCCTGTAAAGATATAAAGTGTTTATGATGCAGGAATGGTTTTATATAGAATAATACTATTCTTAATCATATTGCTTATCCTTTGGTAACAAGCAAGGCTGAACATATTACTCAAAAAGAAATTAATCCAAGATTTATTTTAAGCCAAAATTAAGGACCTACTTGCAACTTGGTGATAATTTCATTTTTCGTTGCATTAACAATGTTCATATCTTCTATGGCAAAGGCTGGATAAGAAATAATGGACAAAAGGCCAGCATCAATCTCCTTTGATGTGGATGCCCTTGGTAACATGGAGTATAGAATAGACTGAGCAGGACATACATAAGCAGCATTGAAAAACAAGAAAAAACAAAGATTAAAAAAAAACATTAGTTTCATTCCAAAGTATATTATCAGATGTAGAAATAGTACTAGTTTGGATTCTAAATTGTTATTAACAAGACAGTCTCCAAGAAATTGTCCTCCAATACATCCATGCCTGATTCTTCTAGCAACAGCATAGGACCGTTATTAATCGACTGAAAACCATGATCATCAGGAACTTAATTCAATTACCTATGCATTCCATAGAATAGAATAACAGAGTTGGAAGGGACCTTATAGGTCATCTAATTCAACTCCCTGCTCAAGCAGGAGATCTTATACTATTTCTGAGAAGTGGTTATCCAGTCACTTCTTGAAAGCCTCCAGTGATGAAGAACCTGTAACTTCTGAACTCAAGCTGTTCCATTGGTTGATAGTTCTCACTGTCAGAAAATTTGTCCTTATTTCTAGCTTAAATCTCTCCTTGATCACTATCCATCCATTGTTCCTTGTCTGGTCGTCAGATGCTTTGGGAAATAGGTTGTCCCCCTCTTCTCTATAACAACCCATCAAATATTGGAACACTGCCACGTCACCCCTGGTCCTTCTCTTCACTAGACTAGCCATGCCCAGTTCTTGTAACTGTTCTTCATATGTTTTAGCCTCCAGGCTCCTTTGTTGCTCTTCTCCGCACTCTTTCTAGAGTCTCAACATTTTTTTTTTATTGTGTGGTGACCAAAACTGAATGTAGTATTCTAGGTGTGGTCTTACTAAGTCTTACTTAGAGTGGTACTAGTACCTCACGTGGTCTTTATTCGATCCCTCTGTTAATTGGCTTTTTTGGCTGCTGCCACACACTGCTAGCTCATATTTAATAGATTGTCCACTAGGACTCCAAGATCCCTCTCCTAGTTACTGCTATTAAGCCAGGTTTCACCTAATCTATACGTGTACCTTGGGTTTTTCTTGCCTAGGTATAAGACTTTAGTTTTCTCTACATTAAATTTCATTTTGTTAAATAGGGCCCAATGTTCAAGACTGTCGAGAACCATTTGGATCTTGACTCAATCATTTAGGCTAGGGTATTGGCTATTCCTGCCAGCTTAGTATCATCTACAAATTCGATGAGTTCCCCTACTATTCCCTCATCTAAATCATTTATGAAGATATTGAAGAGTACTGGGCCTAAGAAGAAACCTTACTTCCCTCAATATAAATGTAGTATCATTAAGGACTACTTGTTGAGTATGATTTGTCAGCCAGTTACAAATCCATCAGGTGGTGATGCTATCTATCTCACTGTTTTCTAGCTTACCATGAAGTAGGTTGTGGTTTACTTTGTCAAATGCCTTACTGAAGTTTAAGTATACTATGTCCACAGTATTTCGCTGGTCGACTAATTTAGTCACTTTATCAAAGAATGAAATAAGATTGGTTTGGCATGATCTGTTTTTAACAAACCAGTGCTGGCTTCTAGTTATAATTTTATTTGTTTCTAGATATTCATAGATTTGGTTTTTGTATTATTTTTTCCAGTACTTTCCAGGTATTGATCTTAGGCTGATTGATCTGTAGTTTCCAGCATCTGTTTATTCCCCCTTTTTTGAACATGGGAACCACATCAGCTCTTTTCCAATCCTCTGGTAGTTCCTCAGTCCTCCAGGATTTTTGAAAGATATGGTACAATGTTTCTGAGATGACATCTGCCAGTTCCTTTAGAAATCTGGGATGTAATCCATCAGGTTCTGGTGATTTATATTTATCAAGTTTATTTATCAAGAGAACAAGTGTTCTTACCATTTTCTTGCTTATTTTAATTTTTATTTCTAATCTGTCTTTTACAGTTATGTTTTTGATAGGTTGGGCTATAGTTTCTTTTTGTGTGAAGACAGATGCAAAGAATGAGTTAAGCAGTTCTGCTTTCTCTTTGCTCCCCGTTACTTCCTTGCCATCTTCCCTCTTTAGTGGACCAACTGTTTCCTAGACTTTTTTCTTGTTATTTATATGTTGAAAAAAACTTTTTATTATCTTTGACTTTTGTTACAAGTCTTTGTTCATTTTGAACCTTTGCTTTCCTGAGACTTCATCTTGGCAGATTCTGGCTATTTGCTGATGTTCTGCCTTAGTTATATGTCCCTCTTTCCATTGTTTGTACTTATCCTTTTTGTCTTTCAGTTTATCAGAGAGATCTTTGTGCAACAACGCTGGTTTCTTCTTGGATTTGTTTTTCATTTTCATTGGTATTGTGCTGAAGTGGACTTTTATGATCATATTTTTCAGAGTTTCAAAAACTTCTTGGGTTGTTTTCCCCTTTCCCAAGCTCTGAGTTTGTTAAAATCAGTTCTTAAAAAGAGAAACTGGTAATAGATCTGGGAGATAGATTATGTAAAACTGATTATAATTAATCCTTCAAGTCACTTACCAGATGCTGCTTTCAAGTATGGAAGGAGAAGATTGAAGAATATAAACATTTCAGAATAAATGAAAGAAAATTCATCTTTCTCTCTTTGCCTCCCACCCCCCCACTTCCCTTGACTTCACATATATTGTTTGGTTAAGAGCTTTAAAGGGCTTTGTTACAGCTTCTTGGATATCCCAATGAAAAAGATTCAGATTTACCTGACAATGTTCAACTTCATCTGGGAGTACATGAATGACTGACTTATGTCCTCCTCCAGCTCCAAACAGGTCCAGCTCATCAATTGCTTCCAAAGCAGCCTTCAGAAAAACATATGTCAATTCTTATTACTAGAAAAGGAGATTTAACTCATATGCAGAGTATCCATGAGCCTGCTTGGTGTAGTGGTTAAGTCAATAGGCTAGAAACTGAGAGACTGTGAGTTCTATTCCCGCTTTAGTACGAAGCTAGATAGCATTGGGTCACTCATTCTCTCTCAGCACTAGGAAAGAAGCAGTGAACATAGAACATAGAATAATAGAGTTGGAAGAGACTTTGAGGTCTTCTAGTCCAACCCCCTCCTTGAGGAGACCCTGTATCTTTACAGACAAATGAGATCAATGATGCAAAGTAAAGCATTTCTGAATGGCAAAGCATTTCTGAAGAACCTTACCAAGAAAATTTTAGAGATTGGTCCAGGCAGTTGTCAGAAGTCACGATTGACTCAAAGGGAGTCAATGTATGTATGTATGTATGTATGTATGTATGTATGTATGTATGTATGTCTAAAATAGTTTTGAAGATACAAGTCTCGGGTATATTCATATTAAAAAAACTAAAACACAGATCACCGAGACCAAAGAATTTATTTAAAAACTTAACTTTCGTCAGCATGTGCTGACTGTCAGAGTTCCAGCCAGGATTGAGAATCACGTTCTTATAGTCTCTGTAACGCCAATCGTTTGGCTAACGAGTGTGTTACCCATCTATTCAGCTCCCACCCTCCCGTGGTTAATTGCTCTGTTGTTGTTTCCGTCGCACTCGTTGAATTTCGGCGCCCTGCTCCTCTCCTCGCGCCCTGCCCATGTGGAATGTATGTTCTGCCGTCATCTCACCGCTTAACCAAGGGAGGGCAGGAGCAGAATAGACCAGTAACATGCTTGTTAGCCAAACGATTGGTGTTACAGAGACTATAAGAACGTGATTCTCAATCCTGGCTAGAACTCTGACAATGTCAGCAGACGCTGACAAAAGCTAAGTTTTTAAATAAATTGTTTGGTCTCAGTGATCTGTGTTTTAGTTTTTTGAATATGTATGTATGTATGTGTGTATGTGTGTGTGTATGTATAATTTCATGAATTTCTCCCACGTAAGTGAGCATAGGGATGCAACCAGATATTAAATAGTGTATGTACAAACTATTAAAATAATTAAGTATTAAGGCAGTGCTAAGCATTCCAAAAGAGGTATTTTGTGGCTAGCAGGCATGAGTTTAAAGCATTTATTTTCAAATCATTAATGCAATCAGAATAATGACCATCAGAACCAATTTCCAAAGCAGTTGCACAAGTCTTGCAATCAACTCAGCTGTATTAATACAAAAGACTTCATCCACAGGATTGTGTACTGTGAAACAAGTTTTAATGCTTTGTCATATTAAGTGTTTTCCAATACTTAATTTTAAGTATAAATTTTTAAATATTAATTTTAAAAACAAAAATTTCACAAAAACAGGTGGATCTAGAAATGATCTTGTTTTCTTCAAGGTGACTCAATTTAGTATCTTTATATTGGCCCTGGTTGATATGTACTAACACAACTGCCATATAGTGAAAATATCAGCTTTCATAAAAACAAGCCAGTTTATACTGAGGTATATTAGCACAAGTATCCTCATTAAATTGTGCTTGATCAGAAATATGAATTACAATCCCTTCAGTCAGTTGCAAGAGGATCTATGGTTAGTAATACTTCTATACATCTTGGAACTTTGATCCTGCCACTAAAGATGTGCAAAATCCAGTTTGTTGATTTCCCTATCCCAAAAACCTCAGTTGATCCTTATCCACTGGCTTGTTTGCATATATTTTACTTTCACAGCCAGAAAATTAATCAAGATCCTTATCAAATCAATAACAAATCTATCAGTTACTACAGTATTTTTTATTTCAAAATAGAAATAAACATGTGAATATTCAGAAATAAGCTTTGTTAAATTCAAGTCTATAGGTATAGTTCTTTAAGTTTCAATCAACTCACAAGTAGCTGTGATTATTTCTGATCTATTTATAAAAAAACAGAAACATTCCTACTTTTGCCATTCCAACAGAGCTTGCATTCAACTCAGGAATGCCCTGATTTGTCTTATCACCACGTTCCCACATGCCATAATCCTGAAACAAAACAAGAGAAAAAGAGCAAGGGCATTTTAAAAACACAGATCCAAAAATATGCAGAAACTGTAATAGATTGTTATGAACAATATGGAGCTGCCAACCAATCAATCTGAAAATTGTCATTTTATAGGTTCTAGTTCAAAATTATGTACATGGGCATTTGCATGAGGAGCAGATGAAAAATATGTCTCCTCAAAGACATTGGCTCCCCACATTCCATTAACCTTAGGATAAATATTCTGAAAAAAGAAAAAATTAAGGAAAAAAGAAAGGAAAGGAAAAAAATAGATGGAAGCAGAATCAGGGCTGCTCAGATTCTCTCTTTTCAATCAAGCTCTTCACAATAAACATGGGAGGAGCTTATTTAGGAAGGTTATAAGGATTGGTTTAGCAAGGCTGACTATATGGATTTTATTTGGAATTTTCTGATTGTGGCATTTTGGTTTGAGAAGGAAATTAAGATTTAAAGCCCTCCATACATGCAAGACTGCATAGTTCATAGTTCATCCCTTGTATTCCAGAATTGGAACAAGATTTGTGATATTCTGCATTTCTGGGATTTGGACAATAGGACCCAGAACATGTTCCTTTTTATTTTCCTAGAGCTGGGCTAAAGAGATGTATTAAATAGGATAGGATAGGATAGGATAGGATAAATAGAATAGAATAACAGAGTTGGAAAGGACCTTGGAGGTCTTCTAGTTCAACCCCCTCCTTAGGCAGGAGACCCTACACCATTTCAGACAAATGGTTGTCCAATTTCTTCTTAAAAACTTCCAGTGTTGCATTCACAGCTTCTGGAGGCAAGTTATTCCACTGATTAATTGTTCTAACTGTCAGGAAATTTCTCCTTAGTTCTAGGTTACTTCTTTTTTTGATTAATTTCCATCCGTTGTTTCTTATCTTACCTTCAGGTGGTTTGGAGAATAGCTTGACCCCCTCTTCTTTGTGGCAACCCCTGAGATATTGGAACACTGCTATCATGTCACCCCTTGTCCTTCTCTTTATTAAACTAGACATACCCAATTCCAGCAACCGTTCTTTATATGTTTTAGCCTCCAGTCCCCTAATCATCTTTGTTGCTCTTCTCTGCACTCTTTCTAGAGTCTCAACATCTTTTTACATTATGGTGACCAAAACTGGATGCAGTATTCCAAGTGTGGCCTTACCAAGCCATTATAAAGTGCTATTAACACTTCACATGATCTTGATTCTATCCCTGTTAATGCAGCCTAGCACTGTGTTGGCTTTTTTGGCAGCTGCAACACACTGCTGGCTCATATTTAAGTGACTGTCCACTAGGACTCCAAGATCCCTCTCACAGTTACTATGATTGAGCGAGGTACCACCTCTACTGTACCTGTGTGTTTGGTTTTTCTTGCCTAAATGTAGCACCTTACTTTTTTCACCATTGAATTTCATTTTGTTAGATAGCGCCCAATGTTCAAGTCTGTCAATAGCCTTCTGTATCTTAAGCTTACCTTCTGGAGTGTTGTTGGCTATTCCTGGTGTCATTTGCAAATTTAAAGAGTTCCCCATCTATCCCCTCATCAAAATCATTGATGAAATGTTGAAGAGTACTGGGCCTAAAACAGAGCTTTGGGATACTCTACTGTATACTTCCCTCCATGTAGAGGCAGTTCCATTGAGGACTACACGATGAGTGCGGTTGGTCAGCCAATTACAAATGGTGGTGATGCTGTCTAACCCACATTTTTCTATCTTATTTAGTAGTACTTGTGGTCTACTTTATCAAATGCTTTACTGAAGTCTAAATAAATGATATGCACAGCATTCCTCTGATCCATTAATTTTGTCTCCTTGTCAAAGAATGCAATAAGATTTGTCTGGCATGATCAGTTTTTGATAAACCCAAGTAGCTAAGAACTCTCCAAGTGGAGAGGTTAAACAGGATAAGGAGATGACTATCATTATTAACTTAGAAGAATTTTTTTGACAGGGAGATTTCAAATGATTTCAAATGATACATACTCAATTTGGAATGCCATGAAAATACTTACAGCAACTTTATAGGCAGCCTCAATGTAAAATACAAGATTCTGTATAAAGGTCACTTCATCAAGTGTGAAAATAATACGCAATCCTGATTAAGAAAGAACCATTAATAAGACTTTTAACATAAATCACATGCAATAAAATGAACTATGTGTTTTTATTCTATTCATTTATCATTCTTATAGGAAATTTCTCACAGGAACAAATTTTAAAAGAAGCATGGGCATATAGGTGCTTTCCTTAAAATACAATCCTTTGCAAAACAATCTGTTTACAATTCATACTTAAACCCAGTTAAAATATTTTAGAAAACAAAACATAATATATGACCTTCTCAAGGATGAGGAAGATTAAGAATTTTAGACAGCTATTAGAACAGTGGTTCTCAATCTGTGGGTCAGGACCCCATTTCGGGTCGAACGACCATTTCACGGGGGTCGCCAAACAACGCAGTCCGCCATTTTTTCCCCCTTTTCCTTAGCTGTGCTACTCCCTTTTATTCTATTGGCTTTTGAAAGCCAATAGAATAGACTCTCTTGAATAGAGTCTAATTCTATTGGCTTTCAAAAGCCAATAGGAATTGTCCAGGCTGTCTCTGCCCTGCTGAGCCCACCAAAAGTCCCATTCTGCAAATGGTGCTGCACCAGTTGAGTAGTCCTCGACTTACGACCGGTTGGGGGGGTCGCGGCATTAAAAAGGTTGAGAACCACTGTATTAGAAGCATGAATAGTAACTTATCCACACCTTATTGAATATGGCAAAAACAATAAGTCGAATATTGAAGTTATTTTTTTTTACAGCTAGCTGATTATGACAACATTGAACTCTTCTCAGAAGATTCCAAAGGTCACTTTTATTATGACATAGCTTACCTGATGCTGTCATCTGAGCCAGGAAAAGAAGATAAAGGGAAGTAGCATCTACTTGTAGATGCCCCCACTTATCATCTGCAACTACTGTTCCACAAGTGGCCGTGTTATATTTGGCATGCAGGCAATCCTTGGTACTCTGAGTGTGCTTGAACTTTTCAACTTTATCTACCTAATGAAATCAGGCAACATTCCAAAATCAATTTTTGAAGCATAAACTTTCATAATTATGATTTTGTCTCAAGATCCAAATTTTCACACAGTTTAATTTCAGGAGCTTTAATCAACAAAACTTTAATAAAATATTGTATGTACATCTTTGAATCAATTCTGACTCTTAGTAAGTGCCTGGACTAGTCCTTGCAGAGTTTTTGGCTAAATTTCCGGAATGGTTTGCTACTGCCTTCTTTCTAGGGTTGGCAGAAAGTGACTTGCTCAAAGGCAGATAAATTTAATAACTTACTAAATAAGGTCAACAGCTGTCTTTATGCTAAAGGCAAGATTAAAAGTTATGGTCTCCCCATTTCTATCCTGGTACCTAAACCACTACACCAAACTGACTCTTTCTCATTCTCATTTAAAACATTTATCAAAACCAAATTTAATTGAGCAGGTTACTTTTTTTTTAAACACATTTTATTGGTTTTTTAATTCTTAAGAAAAGGTACTCAGGACACACCATGGTGTTTGGGTAATCAAAAATTCAAAAGTGAAAACATATATAAACAACTCAACTCAATACATTCACTGTCCCTTCTCTATTTCCCTCAAATAGCATAATACGTTTAAAATATTCCATTTCTAATTTAAATTTCTATTACTGCTAAACCTGTTTTGAAACTTTGTCAGTTTACAATTACCATAATCAAATTTAACTTTAAATCAACAAGTTATCAATTCAGGTATCCCTTCAGATATATTCTAATTCTTAATCTCTCACATCCTTCATTTTATCACCAATCTCATTTATTTCTTCTTCCACTTTACAATAGATATCCTAATTAAAATAAAAAAATAATCTGCCCTATACATATATAATCCCACAATCGATCTATCTCTTTAAGATAACAAAATAATGTTAAACCTTAAATCATTTCAATTCATTAAACAAAATTCAAATTTCGTCCAATTGATTAGCATGCCTTATCATATCTATGTTATCATACAGAAAGGTCATCTTACTAATTTAAAACACTCAGTTAATTATTAAAACCATCCAAATCTAAAAAGTCAACATTTTTTCAATTCCAATACATAATAATTTTCATAAAAATAAATCTATTATTTCAAAAGGTACATTCTTAATCTATTTAAAATATCTATTCTAATAATCACCCTCCTATATATATTTTTTCTTACTTATAAGTCTAAATCTTAATCCTTAAAACAGTCCATAAATCCAACATTGCCTTTTAATCCATTACACATTTTTAAAGTTCTCTTTTAAGTCTGATTCTGGCTTTTTTTCTGTGCCAGGCAGGTTTCCATAACCAAGCTTCCCTTTCAGCCAGTAGATCTATTTTTGTTGGTTGCAATGGTCTTTGAAAGGATAGGAATCCCATCCTCTGCATTAGGCATCTATTTCTCTCATCTTTAAAGCTTCGTTGCTTTGTAGTTTTAAATCTCAGTCTTTGCTTCTTCTGTTCCTCAAAGTTACAGATGGAAAGTTTATAAGATAGAATAAGTTCCACTTTGATCTCTGTTGATTCCTCTTGTAGTATGTTTTGATTTATAGAATAGTCAGATGTAGTCTGGACATCAGTTTGAATGTTTGAAGTGAAATTTCTGGATCTTAATTCTGTAGTAAACTCTTTCATTGTAGCACATATTTCTGCAGTAGCCTCATAAATCTTTTCCAATATAAGTTTACAGTTTAACTGTAACTGAGGTTTCTCTATTTTGATAGTAATTAAAGAGTCTCTTTTTTCTTTTTTGTGGAGGCTATATTTAATAAAAGTTAGGCAGTGTCCACCCCCACAATTCTCACAGCTGCACAGCTTATCTTTTCTCTTCAAAAATAATTTGAAAGTCAGTTCTATTCCATCTTCAAAGAGTGTCCAGAAGTTGCAGTATTAGGTTTTCACCACTAGATGTCCTCAGTAGGTTAAAAAAAGATCTTTTCCAGACACCATTTCCTTTTTTCTATCTTGTAAAGTATAATGTGAAAAAAGAAATAATCTTCCAGTATAAGATGATAGTACAGTTCTTAGAAAGAGAAAAAAAAAAATTCTGTGCCCCCCAAAATATGGAAATAAAATATAGTTTTTAAAATGTTGTTCTATTTTTATACAACGCCTTTCTTCCCAAACATGTAGAAGCTGCTTTTTGAAGCCAGGGAAATAATTCCAACAAGGCTCTTACAGGCACAAAAAACAAAATAGAGTAGAGAGAGTAGCAAGGAAAAGTCTCACCCGAATTCACCACGGGGGTTCTTACAGCTTAGATGTTCTTTGACTTGTGGTTTGAAGCGGCAGGTTGATCAGCCATTTTATTGGCCGATCTTCTCCTTCGGCCCTCAGAGATAGCTCGGACAGCTGGAGGAGCCGCCGCTCTTCTACAGCCAAGCAAAGCCTCCTCGACAGAAGTCGCACCCTCCAGGGTGACTTTCGAGTCGCATAAGGGTCTATCGGCAGAGGGAAAACTAGCTGAAGAGGAGACAAGTCTCCCCATGCGACTAGAGACGCTGCGAACTGGAACCGGAAGTCAAGCAGATTACTTTTCAATGGAATCATTCACTCTAGTGTGGCAGCATATTACTGCAACAGTAATACCTTGGTATTTTTTAAAAAAAAAAAACAACAACTGAAAGCTTAACTGGGAAATCCATCACTGTGTAATTAAATATATATTACATCACATTGGGATAACTAGCAAAAATACAATATTTGGAATTAGCAGAGTTAGGTAATATTCTTAATTCTCAGCTGCTAAACAGGGATATAAATTACTCTAAATGCAGCCAATACATCATACTTAAAATATTATGGAAAAAAACCTGAGTTGATACAATTGCTAAAATATTATGGAAAAAAAACCTGAGTTGATACAATTGCTAAACCAATCCATCATCGTGTTCTTATCAATGTAAACAAAATGGAGTTTTACTTAAAGAAAAAAATGAACTACCTAAGCAACTAACTTCAATCTAAAAATAAGCAAGGCTTCATTCCCCATTTTCATCTGTCTATCTATCTATCTTATATTTTTATGACCTTGTAGTCCCTTAATTCGAGGTGACTGGATGGAGCTGAGTATTTACTGTAGCTAAGAAAGCATACTTTGTTATTTACTTACATAATCTATAAATTGTATGTTTATAGTTGACATACCCCAGCTGGAATTGAAACTTTTGGTCAGATTTTTTGGGAGGGAGGGGAACCTTGTGACCATTTAAAGTAATACTATAAACAGATATATTACAGAAACTTAATATATTGATTATAACTCTTTCCCATTCCAAAAAGAGGAGGAAGGGAAATCACACTGTCAAAATTCAGCTTTTTTCCACAATCTTAGTGGGATGCCAGGGCTACTAAATAGTGTTCTTCTTTATACCAAAACTCACAGTCACTTAGATGTTATGCTATCACTTATACATTAAGTTAATAAAGATTTGTGTTGATTTTTACCTGTCTCATCATACACTGTAAGAGCCCCCGCATTAGTTTCACAACATTCTATGGAAGTAAAAGAAAAAGAAAAACCATTACTATCCAATTTAATTTTTAGAAGGTATACCTACGGTATAACTAATGATCAATGTTCATACAAAAATTGAATATCTAGATCTATGCATTTATATACAGTGTTTTAAAACTCTTCCAGTATTTAAGAAAACATTTGTCCTAGATCAGTGGTCCCCAATCTTTGCAGCTTGGCAGCCCAGCAAGTGGTGGGCCAGCACACACGAACTTGCAGTACGCACACCAAGTGCCCACTCAACCGCCATTCCTGCAAGTTGAGCTGCTCGTGTGCAGCCACTCGTGTGCAGCCACTCATGCAGCCCAATTCCGAAAAGACCATGGCCCGGTAGTGGGCCATGGCCCGGGGGTTGAGGAGCCCTGTCTTAGATAACATTTTGACATATTACAATATTAAAGATATGCTGTCAATTTATGTGGTTATAAATTAATCAAGATATCATATAATTAAAAAAAGATGGCATGCCAAAAGCTTTAAAAGAAAGTTGTTCTTATTCAAAAATCCATGTTTATCTTTATCTTCTCAAATTTTAACATTACTCCCAAAATAACAGATTCTGTGATATATTTAAAATAAAGGGCACATTCTTAGAAAAGCACTGGTGACATTTTTTGTTGTTGTTAGTTGCAAAGTCGTGTCCAACCCATCGCGACCCCATGGACAACGTTCCTCCAGGCCTTCCTGTCCTCTACCATCTTCTGGAGTCCATTTATGCTCACGCCTACTGCTTCAGTGACTCCATCCAGCCACCTCATTCTCTGTCGTCCCCTTTTTCTATTGCCCTCAATCTTTCCCAGCATTAGGCTCTTCTCCAGTGAGTCCTTCCTTCTCATTAGGTGACCAAAGTACTCGAGTTTCAACTTCAGGATCTGGCCTTCTAAAGAGCAGTCAGGGTTGATCTCCTCTAGGACTGACCGGTTTGATCGCCTTGCAGTCCAGGGAATTCACAAGATTCTTCTCCAGCACCATAGTTCAAAGGTCTCAACTTTCACAGCCGTACATTGCAACTGGGAAAACCATGGCCTTGACTATACATACTTTTGTTGGCAGAGTATTTCACATACTGTATAAGGAAATAAGTGTAGTAGCAATCAAAGGTCTACCTGTTCTAATTCATATGCTTTGGCTTTATCTTCATCACGGTCTGCATTCTTCCTGTAGGCCATCCCTAGGCCCCAGACAGCCAAAATGCTGTATATATTATCTCGCACCCAAGCATCCTTTTGTTCTGTGCTGGCAGAAAGTAGTCCTGTAACTGGATTCTAAATTTTAAAAAATGAATGGAAGGAAATTAAGAAGCAATTTATTAAACAGGATATAGAGTTACTGTTCCATAGTGGTTGAGGAGTAAACCTGAGAATTAGGAAGGTTTTTTTTTTTCCAAATGTAATCTCTATAATGAAAGTAGATGGCCATGGGCACTCTACTATTTAATTAACCAACATATACAAAGTCTATTATGAAACAGTACCAGCTACATTATAGGGTTACTTTAAAATTTATTAAGATGAGGAACACAATACATTTTGAGACAATGATCACAAGATCCCGTTTACTTCCCTTTAGTGAACAGGAAGCTTTTACACAAAATAAAGACATTCTAAGTTGCCATTTGATAAGCCTCACCAGGCTGAAGTAGGAGATTGCAGGAAAATGAGCAGAATGCAAATCCACTATGATAAAGGCAAGATAGTTAATTCTAACAGTCATTTTGTCTAAGACTTTCTGTTGACCATATAATATTAGAAGATACTAGACAACCCATGACCCGTTGGGTCATCATTTCAGAGAGATTTCCTTACCAGACTCCCAAATGCCTTCAGTAATGACAAGAGCTTCTAATGCACTTGAAAAGTTCTTTAAAATTTAGGGAAATATTCAGAGATTGAAAGTTGCACAGCTCTATAGATACCACACTGCAACAAAATAGTCCAATTGGGAAGTGATCAAAGCATGACTGACATAAAGGGTTTCCCTATCTATGTATGGCACTACTGGCACATGAGATGAATTTGGGCAAAAGACATCCCGATCACAGCTATTATCTTCAGTTCAAGCAGGAGCTGTGAGTCAAAGAAGGACCCCAAATTGACTACCAGTCCTGAAAAGGGAATGCAATCCCATTCAGGAGGAAAGAAGGAAATACTCTAAGCTTAGAGAGTTGAAATATCCATAGCTGCTCAATCTTGTCAGAGTTGATCTATGTTTGTTCTTTCTCACCCAGACTCATACAGCCTTTAGATATTGAGACAAGATCTTTCCAGCATCACCTAATTGATCAGTCGCCAAGCTATATAGCTGGGTATTATCAACATAGTGATGATACTGGACCTCACAATAATATATGACATCACCAAGCGGTCTCATGAAGATGCTAAACAGGACAGGCAAGGGTACTGAGCCTTGAGGCACCCAAAACAGGAGAAGCCTCCAACTCCCCTACCTCGTCAACCCCAACTGGGCCTGAATGCAAAGAAAATAGATGAACCCTTAGTATACCCTGCCTCCCACTTCTAATCCCATTCCAGAAGGATACCATAGTCAATGGTACCAAAAGCCACCAAGAGATCAAAAACAGGAAGTTTCACTATCCCTGACAGAACTCTGCAAAAGTTAATCAACAAGCACAATCAATGGCATCTCAATAGTTGCCTCTAGATGAGAAGGGTGGCACACAAATCAAATAAATAAATACTGCTGCTTTCTGCTATTTAAAGTAATAATGGTTTTTCAAGTATTAGTAGTTTTACAGTTTCTTATTATCACTGTCCTAAGCATCAGTCAGTTTTGGAACTTCTGGGAAGGCCTGTTTGTTATAATAGCACTTCTTTCTCTTACATATTGTATTTATTCTAAGGTTTCACCCAACAATAATATGACAGATTTTTTATTGTGCCATCAGGGTACAATATCAGTCGATGGGAGAGTTTATTTATAGGTAAAGCACTGCTTGCACCCGGCTCATAGATCTCGTCACCGGTCCCAATTTATAGGTAAAGCAGCCCTTTACCTATAAATAAACTCTCCCATCGACTGATATTGTACCCTGACGATGTTGGCGAAAGCCAGGTGATTTATCGTATTAAACTTTTATAGTTTTATAATATTCCTGGTGCTCATGTGTTTTTTGGTTATTTGGAAGATGAATATACCCAGGAATCACACTTTTATTTTTAATGTTTTATATATATATATATATATATATATATATATATATATATATATATATATATATATATATATATATATGTTTTCTGAGGTTTTCGCGGGTATTTGTATATAGGTCTTTGGTTGTTCGGGTTTTCTCCCGCGTAAAATTGGAAGTGTCTTGGCAACGTTTCGACGAAGTCACATTCGTCATCTTCAGGCTGGTGTTTTTAGCTTCTTGCTTTGAGCAGCAATGTGTGGTTTTAGCTGTTTCTTCCTTTTAACTGCCAGTGAGGGTATGAAATGATTGGATGGGAGCTTGGCTGTGTTCTGATTGGGTGGAGGTGTGTTCTGAATGGTTAGGGGCTTGGCTGTGCTCTGATTGGCTGGGGGAGTGTTCTGTTTGGTTGTGCTCAGGTTAGTCTGAGTTGCAGAGGGGTTTAAGATTTTGGGGTTAGGGAGTCGTTTGTCAATAAGGGCAGGTTTCCAAATGGCTGGTAGGCGGGAGGTATCATCTCGCTTGTTCATGCTGTGTGGGCGTTTTTCTATCTCGATGGCTTCTCTGATTATTCTGTTATTAAAATGTTCACTTTTGGCAATGGTTCTGGTATTTTTAAAGTCAATTTCGTGTCCTGTGGCTTTAAGGTGTTGGACCAGGGAAGATGTTGGTTCCTCTTTTTTGACTGAGTTCTTATGTTCTTCAATGCGTGCACTTATTCTTTGTTGGTGTGCCCTATGCAGAATCCATCACCTCACACGTAAAAAAACTCATTCCAGTTTATAGAGATCATAAAGAAACAAAACTTACAGCCCAGCGACCTACTCGTGAGCTTCGATGTCATATCCCTCTTCACCCAAGTGCCTATCAAAGAAGCCTTGACAGCTATTCAAAACAAATATAACCCCCCAAACACATCTTAGATCTGACCAACCACTGCCTATCCAACACATACTTCATCTATAATGGACAAAAATACAAACAAACAGAAGGAGCACCCATGGGATCACCCCTCTCACCTGTCATTGCAACCTCTACATGGAACACTTTGAAACCCAAGCTCTAGAAAAATCGGATCACAAACCCAAACTCTGGCTCAGATACGTAGACGACACCTTCATAATCTGGCCACATGGGAAAGAAAAACTGGACAACTTCCTCACACACCTCAACAGCCTACACCCCAAAATACAGTTCACCATGGAAACAGAAGCTAACAACCAACTTCCCTTCCTGGATGTCTTAGTCTACAAGAAATCCAATGGCTCCCTAGGACACACCATCTACCAGAAGAAAACACACACAAACCGCTATCTGCACGCTCTCTCACACCACCACCCAGCACAGATCAACTCTGTAGCCAAGACACTCATCTCCAGAACAAAACGCTTAGCTGACGAACAACACCTAAAACCCGAACTACACACTCTCACCAATGTACTAACATCCAATGGATTCCATAGAAATAAGATTACAAACCTAATCCAAAAAGAAACCCCCACTAAAATCCAAGACAAAGAACAAGAAAACGGCAAAGCCCTCCTCCCATACATAAAAGGCACCACAGACAGAATCAGTAAGATCCTCCATAAACACAACATCAAAACAGCATTCTGCACAAACAGAAAAATATCCACCATCCTTAGAAACCCCAAAGATAAAATTGAATTAGAAAATCAAGGAGTATACGAAATCCCATGCACCACTTGTCCCACCACATACATCGGACAAACCAACAGAAGAATAAGTGCACGCATTGAAGAACATAAGAACTCAGTCAAAAAAGAGGAACCAACATCTCCCTGGTCAAACACCTTAAAGCCACAGGACATGAAATGACTTTAAAAATACCAGAACCATTGCCAAAAGTGAACATTTTAATAACAGAATAATCAGAGAAGCCCATCGAGATAGAAAAACGCCCACACAGCATGAACAAGCGAGATGATACCTCCCGCCTACCAGCCATTTGGAAACCTGCCCTTATGACAAACGACTCCCTAACCCCAAAATCTTAAACCCCTCTGCAACTCAGACTAACCTGAGCACAACCAAACAGAACACTCCCCCAGCCAATCAGAGCACAGCCAAGCCCCTAACCATTCAGAACACACCTCCACCCAATCAGAACACAGCCAAGCTCCCATCCAATCAGTTCATACCCTCACTGGCAGTTAAAAGGAAGAAACAGCTAAAACCACACATTGCTGCTCAAAGCAAGAAGCTAAAAACACCAGCCTGAAGATGACGAATGTGACTTCGTCGAAACGTTGCCAAGACACTTCCAATTTTACGCGGGAGAAAACCCGAACAACCAAAGACCTATATATATATATATATATATATATATATATATATATATATATATATATATATATTCATGTATATATACAAATAAACAGGTAGTCCTCAAGTTATAAGTGTGATGGAGCCTGCCCATTCCACTTGTAACTCGAAAACTCATAGAGTGAATCTAGTACTTCAAACGAGATCACTCTCCTGCTCTTTAAGACGCATGCAGTTTGTTAAGTGCACATGAGGTATCTCAGGGTAGGGAAGGCCATGGGGGGTCTAGTGATGGAATAGCCCCCCCCAAGGCCTTCCTACCCACTAAGATACTTCATGCTTACTCCTCCCTTCCTGCTGCGCTGGATTCACTTATCTTCCAAAGATCTGTCTCCTCTCTGTCACGGTTTCTGCCTTTGAAGGAGAGGAGAGTCGATGGAAGCTCCTGTGTGCCTATAATATCACACGAGTTCAAGCACTGAACCTCTTTTGCAGAGAATGGGAGTCTGAACTCTTGCAGTGTTAGCTCCAGCCCCCAACTCCTTTCCATTACTGCCAGAACAATTTTCACCAGGACGGAGACCTTAGGAAAACGGGAAGCTCCATCTGCATGCAAATGCACGCTTAGAAACGGAGAACCTCACTTTGTGGCTCCGTTTTCATTGGAAAAAGCCATTTCTCAAGCCCCTTCCTGGTGAAAACAAGCCTCCTTGCAGGATTGCTCTCAATAAGAGTGAGGCGTGCTTGCTCCGGAAGCTTGTTTTCACCAGGAAGGGGCTTGAGAAATGGCTTTTTCCGGAGCTACAGAGGGAGGTGCACTCACTCCAGAGGCTTGTTTTCGCAGAATTGCTCTCAGTAAGGCCAGCTTGCTCCAGAGGCTTGTTTTTGTCAGAAAGGGGCTTGAGAAATGGCTTTTTCTGCGAAAACAAGCCTCCGAGCCCTGAAGCTGGCAGAGGCAGCGGCAGACAGAGCAGACCCTTCCCCATCTCCCCTCGCTTCCCCAAAGCCTCCCTTCACTAACCTCCTTTCCAGCTCCATTCTCCGCCACTGCGTGCAGGGCAACAAAAGAAGCCTGTGGGACTACCAGTAAAAAAAAAGTTCAATCAGACCTCCCAACATTGCGAGATTTTTTTTTTTTCGTGAGATGTTGGAAGGTGATCTCTTTTTTTAGTCTCACAAACTACTTTTGTTGTCCTGCACATGGAGAACAGAGCTGGAAAGGTGGTTAGTGAAGGAATGTGGTTGCCCTGGGGTGTGGATTAGGATTTGGCATTGTGGATGCCCTAGGATGGGGTCGGGGTTAGAATTTGGCATTGTGGATTGTTGAGTGTTTGTGCTCTGGTGCGGCTATTCAAAACGTAGGGATTCCCTGCCTTTTGAAGCACCCTGTGTGACTGCATGGAAAGGAGCGCTCCATTTCTCAAGTGACCCATTCCAGACACACAGAGCTTGCAGTCTCTGCCAGATCTCTGTTGGGATAAAAAAGGCTTTCAGCGCATATAAAGCGCTTTCAAACACAGCCAGTCCAAGCTGAATCTCCTCTCCCTCAAAGAGAAAGAAACCATGGCACAGAAGAGACAGATTTTTCAAGGTAAGTGAGTCCAGTGTGGCAGGAAGGGAGGGGGAAGCAGTTGTGGGGAGCAGGAAGAGAAATAGAGAGAATATTGCAGAGCCTCTGCAGTCAGTTTCTTGTAAGGGCAAACGACTGCTGTGGTGCTGCAATAGTCATAATTTTGGGATTTGCTCATAAACACTAGAGGGCACTGATCATGTAATTTCAAAAGAGTGCTAAGTGAGTGGTCTTAACTCGAGGATTACATATATATGTACACACACACATACAGAGTGTGTGTGTGTCTGTCTAGGTGAATATCTGTAGCTCTGTAACAGAAGTGAAATTATCACAAAACATTATTTTCTACATTGTCTTGAGCAAATACCTATACCTTCTGATCATACATATGTGCATGATATGTACACTTTAAATATAGTATATATTTATAATTGAAGAGGTTCTTAAAATAGATCTAATTCCAATGAGTCTGATATGTGTTTGTTTGTTTGTGTGTGTGTGTGTGTGTGTGTGTGTGTGTGTGTGTGTGTGTGTAGGATGAGGGTGAAGGTTCGTTTTCCGAGCTTGTGGGTTGGTTTCTGAATGTTTCATTACCAGGCTAGGTAACATCTTCAGTGGAGTTTAGGGGATGTCAGTGTCAGCGTTCTTCTGTTTATAAGGGCTTCACTTGTGGGTATATCAAGTGAGGGTTCTGTGAGTCTTGTGATGGGCCAGGTGTAAGTCATCATTGAGTCTTGTATATACAAGAACGGGATCCCCAATTGTGTCTCTGCCTGGAACACCGACATACAAACTAACAAAACCCTGCAGAGGAAACTCAGACATCTGGTCAATGACTCAGCCCACTCAATAAACTCCCCAGAACAATTTCTCCAATGCATCAAACATATCAAGATCAACAAGGAAGAAATTTTGGTCTCCTTTGACATCACCGTTCTCTTCACCTCAATTGACATCGACCTGGCTAAACAAATCATACACCACCTACTCACTAAAAACTATACCCACAAAGATGATGCCGCTACAGAACATTCCATGTCCACAGAAGCCATCATGAATCTCCTGGATCTATGCCACAACACATACTTCAAGTTCAATGGGAAAATCTACAAGCAAGTACAAGGCACCCTGATGGGATCACCCACATCAGGCCTAATAGCAGAAGCAGTCATGCAATGACTCTACCCACTATCCAACCAAAATTCTAGACACACTACATCGATGACACCTTCATCATTATCAAACACTCCCAAATTGAAGAAACACACCAGCTATTTAGTAACATATTACCTGGGATCAAATTCACACGTGAAGCCAAAACCAGCAACTCCCATCCCTTGACATCAATATAAGGAAACTGGTCAACAGAGAACTGGAAACCCGTGTCTACCACAAACCTATGCGCACGGACCAGATCCTCAGCTTCACAGCCACCCCACTGCACACAAAAGAAGCTGTGTCCAGAGTCTCTTCATAAAGGCCAGGACACATTGCAGCACCACAACATTAAGAAAAGCAGAAGAGAAACAACTGTTCAACATCTTTCTCCATAATGGCTATTCAAATAACTTCATATTCCGACACACAGCACCCAAACCACAACTCACCACAAAGCCAACCACCACACAAAAACTAACCCTACCATACACAAAAATGACAGCTAGAATTCGCCAAACTCTAGGAATAGCAATAGCCCACGAACCCACAGCCACATTCCGCCAGGAATTATCCAGAAACAAAGACAAGATACAGAAGGAGGAAAAAAACAATATAACCTACAATGTAACCTACTACATAAACTGTAACCATTGCAACCAATTCTACGTGGGACAAACATCACATCAATTAAAACCCAGGATCCATGAACACTGGCTGATAGGCAAATGACACAATCCCAAATCCTTAATCTCTATCCACACTGACACCAAACTGCACCAGTTCAATTGGAGCAACACAAAAATCATCAGCCACACTACCACCTGCCACACTTGTGAATTCATCAAAGCCTGGCACTCCATAAGCAATTCCATCAACAGACACATTGACCTACAACCAGCCTATGAACCTTCAGAATCCGAATCAACTGCTAAGCAGGACCATCAACCAACCCATGCAAGCCACCCTCCCACCTGCAATTCATCTCCCAAAGACCATGACCTGATGTAACCTCCCCATTACAAGACCCATCACAAGACTCAATGATGACTCACACCTGGCCCATCACAGGACTCATCACAGACCCTCTCTTGACACATCCACACCTGAAACCCTTATAAACAGAAGAACACTGACACTGACATTCTCTAAATTCTGCTGAAGATGTTACCTAGCCTGGTAACGAAACGTTCAGAAACTAACCCACAAGCTCAGAGAACGAGCCTTCACTCCTACACACACACACACACACACACACACACACACACACACACACTATATCAGATTCATTGGAATTAGATCTATTTTAAGGACCTCTTCTATCATAAATATATACTATATTTAAAGTGTACATATCATGCATGTATTTATGTATGAGAAGGTACAGGTATTTGCTGAAGACAATGTAGAAAATAATGACATAGAAGTAAAAATAAGCAAAACAAAAAACAAAAGTAATGCTAACAGTTATACTAACAGAAGTGAAATTGTCACAAAACATTGCAACTATTCCATTCTCCCACTTTTTTATTTAAACCACATCTCAATGTAGTTTGACATTCTATAGCTATTAAGAATGCTCAGTAAATATTAACTTGATACCTCAGTCCTTTTAGGTATTTAGGAAGGCTGGAATTCTAAAAATAGGTTTCCTCAAATCTAATACTCCCTTCTAATGTATTTTTGTTGCTGCTTTGGATACATAAATAAGCAATAGCACTCATAATCTGACCACCAGAATCAACAGGAATGAAGTTTAACCTGTGAAATTCTTACTAGACAGAGCACTCAGCAACTTACTTAGCTATTTCTTAATGGAAATGTTATATTCTATAAGCGTATTTATAGCAAGTCTTTAAAAAGGCCTTTAGTTTGTAACTTTTCTTAATTATGCTATTACAGCTATCAGATTTCCATTCTATGAAAGCATCATGTGAGAGAAATACTTATGGATGAGGCAGTTGCTCGTAAATGATTCCTGGACACTTGTATAGGAAAACCAGAGAGAAGCCTGGGGAGGGAGTAGGACATTCTTCCAGGAACACCACACATTTTATTATTGTCAGATGAGCAAAAATGATAGGAGCAAGGAGAAGACAAGCCTAGTTGGAAGGGGAAGCTAAAAGAACAAATATCTGCATAACTACAGACTTCAGAAAGATCACAGCTGTCTAAGATGCAACCACACAAGTAGAGACCATATGCCATATTTTATTTTTAGGAACATGCCTTTTCACTCTAAACCATTTAAAGCTTTTTCAGCTGCCTCAAAATTTTTTGGAACAGATTAGTAGAATTATTCAGAAATTTACAAAGCTTCTGATTTTAACCAAAGATCAGTGTTTCTTGTAGTATTATTGGCACTTATTCACAAACACCTATCCATATAAAACCAAAGGTTAAGATTTCTTTAAAAATAGGGGAGTTGGAACTTTTATCAGGCTGAAGAATCCTTTAGTTAAAAAAAATCCCAGAAGCCCTGATTAAGAGCAAAGACATAATGATAGAGAATTAGATGAGTTCAAGTGAACTCTTTTTTCCCCTTATTCTAATAAAATGCCATGATAAAGTGGGAAAGAAATAGAATAACATAGAATAAAGAAGAATAAAGTAAAAATAAAGATCTCTCTTTCACCCATGGAATTTCGTAAAAGCCCTTTATTTTTTTAAGGCTTTATTTTTCCACAAGAATGATGTTCTCATTGGCTATTGCTATTGCCATACAATAGGGAAAAAACCAATTCTAAATAACCCCATATATCTGACACAGTAGATTTATTTATAGAGACAACATATCTAGAGAGATGTACCAGATTATAATCAGTAATGTACTGTACTCACCTGATGATTCAAAATTGTCTGTTGAACAAGCCGAGCGTAGCCATCGAGGCGGACTCCAGAATTGCTCCTACTCCTCATTTCCAACCTCCTCACAATCCCTTACGAAACATGAAAAGTGTGGCTGGATACTGTGCAAGTTGACAGAGCCGCTTTCTTTCTCTCTGGCATCCGTTAGCACGTGTGGTTCATTCACTCATTAGCATGAGGAACCGCAATTCTTGCTGGCAACAGGCAACAAGCAAAACAAACAGCAGCTATTAACAAGCAGATAAAGTTTCCCCTTTAGCTACATACCAGGTGCAGTCAAAATGACAACTTGCAACATATGTTGTTTAAAATTATAAATTATTGCAGCCTTTTGCTTATTTTCTTCTTGGGATAACATAGGACCATAAACATCTGACAGTGATTTATTAAAAGAACTGTGGTTTAATATACAATATGAAACAACAATATTCAGGGATCATACAGAATACAAGATAGTCAGTTATATTCAAACAGTTGAAGTGAGCAAGCAGGTTGTAAGAGCACGTCATTTATTAATTGCATGAACACTGCGGGTGCCCCTTGAAGGTCGAAGTGTAGAACCCTGAACTGGTAACACCCTAAGGGGCAGTTGAAAGTAGTTTTCCGCTCATCTCCCTCTTTAATTCTAATCCTGTAATACGCCTCCCTCAAGTCCAGATTTGAAAAGATTTTTCCTTTCGATAGGTGTGCTAGCATGTCCTTCATTAGAGGAAGGGGATATAGGTTACTCTCGCTCACTGCGTTCAGAGAGCTATAGTCTACGCAGAGGCGAAGAGTCCCATCTTTCTTTTCTCAAAATAACACGAGGGCTGCGGTCTTGGGCTTTGCCAGCTGGATGAAACCCCTTTCCAGGTTTTTGTCTATGAACTTTTGCATCTCCTCTAGCTCCCATGGGCTCATGGGATATAGTTTTAGCTTGGATAATTTCACCCTGGGAGGATCTCAATGGAACAGTCCATGGGTCGGTGGGGGGCATTTAGTCAGAGTTCTCCTCACTGAATATTTCAGCTAGGTCCCAGTATTCCTCTTGTAACTCTCTGTCCCCCACAGCCACTGTGCTTTTGGAGGGGCTTCCCCCATTTTGGGGTGAGTCAGGGTTCTTACTGCCTCTCCGTCTGGGAATCTGAGCTCTCCCATCATCCAGTCCATCCACAGTTCCACTTGGTTAGCCATGCCATGTCCAGGATAAGGGGGCATTCCATGCCAGGGGTCACTACAAACATTATAGTCTCTACCCAATCCCCTATGGTGAGTTGGACAGATAATGTGGCGAGAGTAGCCAGTGTCCCCCTGCAATGGACCCATCTAATTGACCAAATGAGATTGGTTTCTTCAGCCTCCTCACTGGAATTCCTAAATTCCCTACTAAAGTTGGGCTTATGAGGCAACAGGTGCAGCTGGAGTCTATTAGTGCTCTGAGTGCAACCCTCTTGGGCATTCCGAGACTAAACAGTTCTACAGTCCTGGTGAGGGGCGCTATGGGTCCACTTACCAGAGGTTCATCTTCCGAGTTGTCGTCTGACGAGTTGGGTGGCTCTCCCGGTGGTGTCAGAGTTCCCTTCCCCTGTTTTGATGGGGTTGGGAACTTGATGACCTCCAGTCTTTTCATGGCCGTTTCCTTTGGTTTCATTGGGGTCTTCCCAGACTTCCTGGCTGGGACTTGGTCAGGCTTCCAGCCGGGGGTCTGCAAGCGGCACTTGGTGGCGTGGTGCCCTTCCTTTCTACATTTGAAACATCCTGTTGCCCTCAGGGTGGTTGGTGATTGCTTCGTTGGTTCTCAAGGTGGCTCCGCTGGCAATTTCCCCCAAGATCTCCCTCTGTGTCATTGTCTTCCGGCTCTATCAATCTCTGCTTCCTCAGCTAGGAAGTACCAGTCTTGGGGCCGGTCTGGGTCTCCTCAAGGGATGCAGGCATCATACAGGTCATAGTTCAGGCCATCTTTGAAATGCCCAATCAAGATATCTTCCAGCCAATTCAGCTTGCTGGCTAGGGCTCAGAATTCTTGGGTATATTCCGCTATGGGTCGTCACCATTGCCTGACAGTTTTGATGTGCTCCCACGTTTTTCAATCAGCCAAGGGGTCTTCAAATCTGTGTTTGAGGGCTGCCATGAATTGAAATTCTGCAGTTCTGGGGAATTGGCATCATGGAGATCCACCATCCAGTCTGATGCGGTGCCATCCAGGGCTGCTTGCACAATCCGTATTTGGCCACGATCACTGGGTATATCACAGCCATATTCCTCCATATAGTTCAACACTTGAGTCAGGAAAACCCCCAGTGGTGCGGCTCCCTGCAATACTTCACTCCTAGCAGTGGGAACTTTTGGATGGATGGATGCCTCTTCTTCCACCTGTGTTGATGGCCATTTCCATCAGCCAGAGCAGCTCATCAGGGGGTGGCAGTGGCTGTAACAACTGCGCTGGTGGAAGGGCCTGGGACTGCTGGTCATCTGTTCCTTTGGCTGAACCTGGGTTGGCAGTTCCCTGGCATGGGTTGGCTTTCTCCTCCTTCATGGAATAAAAGGTGACTATCAACATGTTGATGGCTTGCTCCAGGAACCAGCTGGAACGGGGCGGTCGGTCATCCTCGTCTTCACTAAGGCGAAGCGACCTCTCCATCTTGACTTTCCAGCCTGGTTGGTGACTGCTGTGTCTGAACATCACTTTCCTGGATGTCTTCTCCCAGTCCTCCTTCTTCCCGACATCCATTGGCCACCTGGGCTTGTGGCAATGGCGATGTTCCACGACCACTACTTCGTCTGACGAGCTTGATGATTGAGAACTGTATAGGCTGGGCTCTGCTTCGTGGGAGAGCTCTCCTCCCATGGCAGGTTCTTCCCTTTCCGTTCTGATATCGGACATTGTTTGCTTAGCCCACCGGCAAGAGTCTTCCTTCCAGGTTGACTTTTACTGCTCATCCTGCCTAATGTCAGGGCCCACTCCAAACCTCATCCCAAGAAAGCAGGACACTTGAAACAGTTTCTTTCCAAAAGGAACTTTTATTAGGAGAAGCTGATAGTGGCCATGATAGGCAGGATTTGAGGGTTTCCTGCTCAGATCAATAGGTTAAGAGTCCCAAGCATAACTCCACCCCAATAGATCATCTGGTCAGTTTGAATGGGCCAATCCCCAGGTGTTAAGCCCGCTGTGGGAAAGGAGCTGATAACAGGATCTTTTCCCATGCTTGTAAAGATGTTGTTGGGTCTTTGCACCTTCCCTAGTGAGATAAGCCAAATGGCCGGAGGCACATTCCTTTCTCATCCCAAGATAATATCAAGGGAGAGACAGTTCAAAGAGTATATATAGGAACAGCGGAAAGGATACATTGCAGCAAAGCAGAACACAGAGCCTTCCCCCTCCCCCTTGGGAGAATGGCAGAATCCTCAGGAAGAAATGAATTAGGAAAGAAATGAGATAGATCCCCCCCAGGGGAAAATGGGTTCTGACAGTTCCTTCTACCCTTTTTATCCCTATCCAGTGTTGTTCTTTTGGTGCTGACATGTGTCTACTCAAAATGCTAACTGCATTTGTTATATCAGTCCGTGTCCACTGGGATAAATATAATGAACTACTGATCACTGATTGATATTTCTCTTTAGCATATTCTGTGTCATTTTTCATCTCCATATAATTCTGGAATCCTAAAACCATGGGAGTAATTACTTTGTTACATTCAAGCATCTCATGCTTCTCCAATAGCTGTTCTATCTTTTTTTTTTTTTGCTTATTATAAATCCTCCATTTTTTTAGTTTCTGTATATCTACACCCAGGTAGTACTTTATTTCTCCTAGGCTTTTTAATTTAAATGTCTTTTCCAGTTGACTGGCAAAAGAGTGGGCCTATGAATGATGTATTGTAACTACACATATATCATCTACATAGGTCAACAGCAAGCATTCTGCACCCTCGTATAGCCCAGTGTATAAACAGGGATCTGCTTTACTGCTTTTAAATCCTAATTTCTTTAGAGCAACAACTAGGCAGTAATTCCAGTTCCTAGCTGACTGTTTTACCTCATAGATGGCTTTCTTCAATTTGTATACGTATTCAGGTTGCTTAGTTTCATAGCCTGGAGCTTGTGTCATATATGTCTCCTCTTCCAATTCAATGTCTAAATATGTAGTGGAGATATCATAATGGTACATGACATAATCACATGCAGCTGCTAAAGCTAATGCTAGCCTTATTGTTTCACTCTTAACTGTTGGTGCAAACACCTCATCATAATGAACATTTTTCTTTGCGTGAATCCCTGTGCTACCAGTCTTGCCTTGTACTGCAGTTCATTATTTTGTAACATCTTTTTATATACCCACTTACATCCCATGGCCGTTTTTCCTTCTGGTAATCTCATGGGCGAGAACACTTGATGCACATCCATAGATTCCATTTCCCTATCCATGGCTTCTTTCCATTTTTCTCGTTCTCTTTTTGGTAAAGACATCATTTCTTGGTAATTGCGAGATTTGTAATGCACACTACATACTCTAACCTCACTTGCCTTGTATCTATCAGGAGGTACTCCTTTATTAATTTGTTCTGACCTTGGTAACACCTGTTCCTGTGCTTCTGTGTCTTCACTTTTCATGTCAGGTCTCTCCTCCTTTATTTTTACAGTTTGTCACTTGCTACCCATTTTCTCTGATGATGGGTCTTCTTCTCCCTGAGATCTATTACTATGTGATGGAATAAACACCTCTGTGTTGGCATGTATCCTTCCCAATTACTATGTTCTGCAAAGCGGGGAGAATGTGAACTTTCTGAGTTCCATCAATAAACCTATATCCCTTGGATCCTGGCTCATATCCTATAAACCTCAGTTTTCTGGTCGTTTCCTGTTCTTTCTTTCTAGTGTTCTTAGGATTATATACTCAGGCATAACTACCAAATCTTCTTAGTTGAGCCAATGAGGGTTTCTTACCATATAACAAAAAATATGGAGTTTCATTCACAGCAGAACTTCATAATCTATTTATTAAATAGCTGTTTTTATGGCTTCTCCCCAGTACCTTCTACTCATACTTGCATCTGCAAGTAGTGAGTTCTTCATTGTCTATAAAATGCCATTCCTCCTTTCAGCTACTCCGTTTTCAGGTGGTATATATGGGATTGTCTGTGTCTAATACCTAGACTCCTAAGCCAACATTGAAAATTGTCAGACATAAGTTCTACTCCCCTGTCTGTGTGCAGCT